CTAACAAATATCTTCACCTTCTCTTGAACTTGGCACTTGTCATGCAAGAAAAATATCCAAGTGAAACAGGAATAGTCATCAACAATAACAAGACCATATATGTTACCCTCGATACTTAGGTAGGTGACCGGTCTAAAAAGATCCATATGTATTAGCTCCAATGGTTGATTGGTGGTCATGATGCTCTTTGGTGGGTGAGGTGCTCCAACTTGCTTTCCGGCTTGATAAGCGCTATAAATCCTATCTTTCTCAAAGTGAACATTTGTTAGTCCAAGGATGTGTTCATCTTTTAGAAGTTGGCCAAGTTCCTTATCCCAACATGGGCTAGTCGGCGATGCTAAAGCCAACCCATGCTAGATTTTGCCACTAAACAAGTCTCAATCTTAGTTTTACTTTTATTGAAATCAACTAAGTAAAGCTTGTTCTTTAATTGACCTATAAAGACAATAGAGGAATCCTCCCTTCTAAAGACTTCCACACCCTTATCCGAAAAAGACAATTGTAGCCTATCTCACACAATTGAGAAACAGACAACAAATTATAACTCAATGAATCAACATGTAATACATTTGTAATTGAATGCTCAAGGGTTATAGGAACTTTACCGAGACCAATCACATCCCCCTTTGAATTGTCTCCAAAGACAATATTTTCATTTAAGTGCATCATCGGGGAATATGATGAGAACATACTCCTTTCTTCGGTCATATGATTTATACATCCACTATCAAGCACCCAACTTGATCCACCGGAGGAGTATGCCTACAAAACAAGTTTAGTTGCTAGATTTAGGTCCCCAATTTGACTTGGGGCCTTGCATGTTAGTCACAGGAATCTTAAGAACCCAAATAGAAGTATTTCTATATATGTTGGTTTTCTTTCCAACATATTTTGCAACCACTTTCCCACTGCTGTTGTTCCTCAAAACAAAGCATGATGTCAAGTTTTGTCGAGGTGTATAAGTCTTCGGTTGATAGGCATACTTATTCTTGGTGGCCCACACTGATTTCTTAGGCTTCTGGAAAACCTATTTCTCCTGGTACACCTTCTTCTTGGGCTTAGTTTGATCTGGAGCAGAATTGGTAGCCTTCTCATTTTTACGGGGCGCGGCACTGTAGCCCTTCACCGTGGCACTGCCGCTCGGGGACGCTGCACTGTCGCGGTCTATGCATGCTGATCTATACCAATTTTGCCCTTCCTCTCAAACTGCACATACTCATAGCCATTCACTATCCTTCTTCCATTTGTCTTGGCTCCTTTTGTGTGTCCAAGCTCATGCTTGATTGAGGGATACCTTCCTTGCTTGAATTGTAGCCCTTTTGATTCATCATTCTTCTTATCATTGGATTGGGTCTCACCCATCCACCTTTTTCCAATAATTTCATTGAGCCTAGCAATCTTCTTTCTCATAGCTTCCATGTTTGCAAGGTTAGTGGAATAAGCATTCAAGTCAAGATTAAAATATTTTTCACAACCTTGACTAGTAGAGGGAGTAGAGGTTTCCTTTGCCTTAGATGTGAGTTGCTATCCCAAAGAATGCTATATTGCATCTCAAGTTTTTTGTGCTTTTCATCTAGGTCACAATAATTTTTTTGAGAGCTTTATTTGCTTTCTTTGTGATAGTATGGTCCTCTTGCTCTTTGGCCAAGACCTTGTGCAAGGATTTTACCTCACTTCTCTCTAATGCAAGAGCTTCTTTGCTAGTAATGTTGAGATCCTCTTGTTGGATAAGAGTCTCCTCTCTAGATTCTAGCTCGGCTTGGACACTCTCTAGATCCTCCATTAGCTTAGTGATGAATAATTTGGTCTTTCCATCTAAATTTTTAGTTATCATATTTATTTCTTCATCACTAGATTCATCATCACTAGAGCTATCACTAATATCACTACTAGAGATATCACTAGGAGGTGGAGGAGATTTAGCCTTTGATTTGGATTTTACCTTCTCACGCTTTGCCATAAGACAAATGTGAGGGGAGTAGTAGTCATCATCGGACATGTCGTTGAAGAGCCTTGGTGTAGGGGATGACTTGTGAATGGCAATAGTTACAACCTTCACATCCTCTTCACTTGTGCTCTCTTTAGTTGAGTCCCATTCATACCCAATGTGAGCCTCTCTCATGTACTTCTTGCTCTTTCTATGGTTGGCTTTCTCCTCTTTCTTATCCTTCTTGTATTTGTTGTCCTTGATCTCATATGGACACTTGGCAATGAAGTGATCAGTGCTTCCACAATTGTAACATGTCCTTTTTTCTTGTTTGGAAAGCTTCTCTTCACCACCTTGTACCCTTGCTTCTTTAACCCTTTGTGAAACCTCCTCATAAAGAGAGCAACATCATCCACTTTCTTATATTGTTCATCATCATGTTCACTCTCACTAGAAGATGAGGTGGTCTCTACTCTTTCTTGAACTTGCTTGATTGATTTGGGTTTGCTAATTGAAGCTTGCTTGTTGGTATTAGACTTGCTTGTAGAGCCTTGCTTGCTTGATTTGTTGGCCTTGAGAGCTACATCCTTGTTGATCTTGATGTCTTCTAGCTTTGCTTGCAATTCTCCAAGCTTCTTCCTCTCATTTGCTTCTTCTCTTTGCATGTCAAAGGTTAAGATCCTCCCAAGTACATCATTTGGTGTGAAGTACTCAAACTTCTTCTTATCTCTAATTAGAGTCACTATGGTCTCATTTCTAGGTGAATAAGCCTCCAACATAATCTTGACAACTTTATGATCATCTAGCTCATCACAACCATAGCCTCTAATCTTTGCCCACCATTGTCATCAACCATCAACATCTCTTGTGGCCCCTCTCCATCCAAGATTACAAACCGGTTGAGCTTTGACATCAACAAGTCAATTCTTGCCTCTCACTTTGTCAACCCCTTCATGTGCTAGGTGCAAAGTGTCCCATATTTACTTGGCAACATCAACTCCAATCACTCTATTGTACTCATCATCATCCAAGGCACTAAGCAACACACTTGTAGCTTGACCATTGAGGTGAATGATTCTCATCTCTTTTAGTGTTGGGTTCTTGGATCAACCGGTGGCTCAAATCCATTGCAAACAATCTCCCAAATGCCGGGTGAAGACCAATAAGATAGGCTCTCATCAAGTGCTTCCACTTGGCAAAGTTAAAATGAGGTAACTTGCCCATGGGTACATTGATGAAAGACCTTCAATCATGGTTAGTCATAGAAATAGAAGAATAGTTAAAGGATACGATGGCATATTTGTTGTTGTCGGCCTTGCCCTTTCCTTTCTTCTCCTTCTTGTTCTCCTTCGACACTTGGTATGACTCATCATCATCTTCATCTTCGAAACTACTTGATATGCTTGATGATGCACTTGTTGCATTCACTTCTTCTTCCTAGCTTCTCTTCTTTTTCTTCTTTTTTCTCTCTTGAGCCTTCTTTCTTCTTTCCTTTGCTTCTTCTCCTCTAACCGATGCCCCTCCTTCTCTCTTACTTCTCTTTTTAGCTTTCTTTCTTCTTTTCTTCTTCTCTCATTCTCATTGAGAGCTCCTTCGGCATCGGTAGCCTCAAGATGTGGTAGCGTGGTGTTGCTTGCTGTCGACGCGCTCAGCTCGCTGCTGTCCATGTCGACATTCACCCGCTTCACGCCACTAGTTCCTCCTCCGGGCATCATACCTCACGCGGTGAAGCGTATATGAGATAACCCGCTCTGATACCACTTGTAGGATCTCTGGTTGCCCTAGAGGGGGGTGAATATGCCTGTCAAAATAAACACTAAAACTTTTATCAAATTCACCCAACGGCACTACCACTCTGGAGGGCGGCACTGCCGAACTACGGCACTGCCAGGCCAGAACAGTGGCAATGCTAGGCCAGAACAGCGGCACTACCGTACCTGAAGACAACTTCGAATCATAGTTCAAAATCCATGAACGAAAACTTAGATCGCAGAAATTTCCTAGCTTAATGCATGTATGACAATCATAGATTAAGAGCTAGAAGTGGTAGGAACACCACACACAACTAGATCGACTAGAAACCCTAGAAATCACCTCAACCACAATATGTCATGCAAGTAATGTAAATCAAGCACAAGTGACATAATGATTTATCCCATGGTTTGGCTCGCCACCAAGGCTTGCCTACCTCCACGTTGTTGAGGTTAGCCATTAAGGCTTAGGGCTTTCCAACCCTCCCTTGTTCTCAAATCAAGAGACTTAACTCTTGAGATGAGGCTTAGGCCCAGCGCAAGGTCCCGCCTATAGTGAGTCATCCGACCAGGATGTCTGTCGCGTTGGATGCTGACAGCTTTCAGCCCATTCAGAGTAGGAGGCGCTGGCACCACGTCGCTTCCCTACACCGATTGGTTTCGTCCAACCTCATCCGCAAGTGCTTCAACTGGCTCACAGGTGACCATGTCCACGCCGACTGCACTGCTCTGGCTAAGTGCTTCAACTCAGGACTGCTGGCCACCAGGCGAGAGACTGCCCCCACCCTCCTGATGTTGGTTGTTGGGAGGGCAAACACGACCACTCCCCACCACGTGGTTTCCAGAGGGGAGCTCACCGCTGCCATGACTCTCGCAGCAGGGGTCTGTCGCCAACCGATACGGTCTCCGCACGCTCGACGTCCACTGGTCAGGAGCCTTCTGTGCCGCTGGTGTGCCAGCCTCTGACCCTAGAGCCACCGTTGTGGGAATCCGATGTGACTCCGTCGCCAGACGACCTGCTCAGCCTTAACGGCGCAGCAGATTCGGTTCGCTTCGCCCCGACGGGAGATGGGGAAGGACCTCGTGTCCCTAGAATGGTCGCCGTGTCCTTTGCTACCAACCATTCTTCCCCTAGGGAGGTCCCGATCCTTGGAGACCCAAAGTCGTCCCATCACGTTCCGCGTTCGCTGTTGTGGAGGGCGTAGGCCCCACCGGCCTCTCCTAGGACACGGACGAGGACGCCGCTGCTGGGACTCATCGTCGTCCCTCGAACCCTGGCTCTCTAAGTCACCGAGGATGCTTTATCGCTACCCCTTCTGGCCATGGTGATCGGCACTAGACCTCTTGTCACGTCGGCAATGGTTCACGCCCACCTTGATGACCACTATGGTATCTCCGACGATCGGGTCACCATCGATCCCACCAAGCCAGATGACTTCATCGTCCGCTTTGCCCATCCTGAGGATATTAAGCTTGTGCTAGGGATCACCGTCACCTCCCGCGGCTCCCTTCGCCCTGCAGTGGCGGAGGTGGAGCCACCTCATCATGGGCTTGGCCGGTTCTTTAGGTTCTGGGTTCTTGTCGGTATGAAGGCGATCCCATTGTACGCCAGGTCCGAGGTAAGCTCAGGCGATCCTCGGTTCTTCCTGCACCAATGTCACTGTCGGCAATCCGGAGATGATCGCTGACCTGGAGGATGAGTGTGAACTCTTTGTGGTGGCCAGGTGCGCCCATCCTGACCTAGTTCCCGACGAGATGATCATGGTTGTCCCAGAGCCGAAGGAGGAGCACGATGGCAGTTCACCGCTATACCTGAGGCCACACGAGATCATCCATGATGAAGTCCCCACGCTCTATTACCTCATTCATATAAGGTTGATCGAGTTCCAAGACTGGCACACGCCACCGACGTCGTCCGACGATGTCAAAGACTTTGGTGGGGACGACAGCGATAGTGGCGATAGCAACTTCAACGGTTACCATCCCAGCTTCGGCGGCGGCGGTTCATGGCCAAGGACGACTCATTTCGGTGATTCGGATGAGCCGCGGCTGGCTCGCGGTTCGGGTCCCGCCTGCCGAGCATAGGAAACAAGGCCTGTAATTGTCATGGGTGACGTGTCATGCCCTATTGGCGTGCCACGCGGCACCATGCCCTACCTCCTGCGTGTCATCACGACTAGCGCTGGGACTGCAACGCGTGTTGACCCAACCATGGCGGAGCAAGTTGACTTAACGCTCGCGCGCCCATGCTCACCCTCTCCTGTCAGGCAACCCACGCTCGACCCAATGACATGTGAGGTGGCACTGTTCACACCATAGAAAGTTGTTAGCACCTGCGACGCGCGTGCCTACTCCATCGACCCATGGCCGTGTGGTGGGCAGGGAACCCACACCCACCCCAGGGGTATCATTGGCTGCACCCTTGATGTGGAGCTACAACTATTCGAGGCCCATGCGACTCGCCTCACTCCTGGTCTCACGGATGGGCCGAAGTGCTTATTTGGTGGACCGGGCCGAGATTTTGACGATGCCCCTGAGAGATGGCTAAGGATGGAGGTCAACATGTGCCTCTCCGGCCCAGATAATTGCAGCTCCGACCCATCCTCGCCTCTGGATCGGGAGCCCATAGTGCACACGGCGCACCATCACTCCACAACATGGCCTTCGGATGTTGCCGGGTCATACGCGGCCTACGAGCCATCCGTCGTCCCCTCTGGGCTGGCTACTGATGCTGAGGCACCCGTGAAAGGTCCTTGTTTGGTTTTGGTAATTGAGTGACAACCTAGGTGGACTAATATGTGTTTGAGTTGAGATACACAGGTGATTAGTCCACAGGTATATGTGTGTGAGCAATACATGCCATGGAGGTGAAATGGCTTGGATTTGTTGCAAAGCTCACATATATGATGAAGGAGCTCATTGCATATGAGACATAACATTGAGTTATGTGACTAAGGTGGACAAGATCAAGACAAGACTTGTCTTGATGGACCGGTTGCAAGCGTGAAGGGCAAGTTGGAGGCTTTGGAGCGATGGTCTGCATGGTGGTGAAGCTTAAGCAAGACTTGGCGCCGATGGACGAAGGCAATGGTGAAAAGCAAGTGAGGTCAAGATCGATGAACCAACAAGGTCACGTGATGAAATGGAGTGGATCATATCATTTGTGATTGGTTGGTGCATGTGTTGCATCAACATTGGAGGAGATGGAATGGAATGCGCAAGGCAAAGGTATAACCTAGGGCATTTTATTTCACCGGTCATAGGTGTGTAGAGAAGCTTATGACTAGGTTTAGGATAGATGGTCGTACTATCAAGAGCGACAAACTTGTTTGCATATCGGTCATCTAGTGCCACTCGAGTGATCTAACTTTGCATCGTTGCTAGGATCGAGTGGCGTGGCAAGTTGAGTGGCTAACTCCTTGAAAAAATGTTTGTGAAAAGCTAACACATATACACATGGTGGTGTACACTTTGTGGTGTTGGCACATTTGCAAAGGCGAAGAAGTTGGAGTTGAAATGGATCAACTCGGCGAAGAAACGGAGGTGAAATAGGTCACTGGAGGTGACCGGACGCTGGCCTTGGCTAGACCTGCTCATCCGGTCATGCTCTGCAGTGAAGGCGCAGGCGTCAGTCTTCGACCGGATGCTAGGCGAAGAAGTGATCTGACGCGTAGGGGCCATGTCCGATCGGTCGTGACGTACACTGACATGGTGGCGTGAGGAGCAGCAGTGACGCATGGCAGGCCGTGATGGACCGGACTCAGGTGCTGCCTCCGATCATGACCAACCTAACGTGTTCGGTCGCAAAACAGAGGCTCGGGGAGCTCTCTAGAATCGATCGGACTCGGTCATCGGTTCGGTGGCAACCGCGTGCACGGGACCTGACGCAGCGTGGGTGCGTCCAGTCAGCATCTGGCGCATCCAATCTTCACTTGACCATTGGCGCGGTGTCAGTGACCGTTGAGTTCGGGTGGCTTCAGTTGAACGGTGGATGACACATGGACGGCGTGGAGCGACCGAACGTTGGGCCAGCGCATCCGATCATTGCGACCGGAGCGTCCGGTCAGCCCAAGAAACACCCAGTGAAGGGGTAACGGCTAGCTTAGCCCATGGAGCTATAAATAGAAGTATTGGTCAGACTTTGGCCGATTGCTGAGCACACTAGAGCCTTGGTGGCTTGTGTGGTGGTGCTTGGGAGCCCTCTAACTCACTCTTGCTTGATAGTGTTCATCTGATTGAGTGAGTGAGTGATTCTAGTGCGATTGCCTCGTGAGGTTGCATCGAGTGGCACTAGGTGATCGTGTTGCAAGCCGGTGGTGCTTGTTACTCTTGGAGGTTGCCACCTCCTAAATGGCTTGGTGGCTTGTGACTCCGTTGAAGCACGCGATAAGATTGTGCGGTGCTCCGGAGGAGGATTTGTGAGGGGGATTATGCTCACCCCGCGGGGATCACGAAGAGCAACTTTAGTAGAGCGTGTCATTGAGCTACCCTCACTTTCAGGGTAGATTCTTGCGGTGCCCAACGTGTGGGCTTGGCGAGAGATGCCAATTAACCGTCGAACCATCAAGTGAGCGGTCGACACAACGGAGACTAGCGTGTTGGAAAGCACGTAAACCTCAGGAGAAAAATCTCTGTGTCATCCTTGTCTTCCTGTTGGTTTGCATCCCCATTACACAAGCTTGTATTTACTTTTATATATATTGTGCTTGTGTAGTTACTCTTGTAATTAGTTTGCTTCTGTAGCTTGCTAGTTACCTTCTTACGTGTATAGCATAGAAGTAGCTCTCTTGTGTGGCTAATTTAGTTTTAGTAACTTTGTTAGTCACATTGCTTAGTTTGTGTAGCTAAATAATTTGTGCTCTCCAATTTGGTATTAGTTGCCTTATTATTGAGCATTCCTAGTGAGTTTAGGAGCTTTGTGCTTTTGCTTACTAGTTGTGTAGGAGCTCCTTTGTGCTTGAAGTACTAGTGGCATAGATTTGTGTGACATTGCTCCTAGAATTGGTTATGTGAGTTCTAGCTAGCCCGGCACCTTGGTTGCTTGTTTATGATCTTTTTAAGGTGCTTGATAACTTAGATAGAGGGATGTAGTCTTGGTTAGATCGATAGTTTTAATTCCGCATTTGTTACGGTTAGCCGACGCGATTAATTTTAGAAAAGACTATTCACCTCCCCTCTAATCCGCCATCTCGACCCTACAACCCGTCGCGGTGACCTCGCCCACGGGCGCGGAACCTCGCATCACGACGTCGCCACCGTCGCCAGCAACCTTTGTTGACTCCCTTAGGCTCCCACTCATCGAGCCGCTGCTAAGGACCCCTCCGCGCACGCACACCTCCAGGGCTATGGACGACGGATGGGTTCCGCGCCGCAGCGACCGGCTGGCGGCCAAGTCAGCCTTCCGCGACCCGCAGCCTGAGAAGTAGGCTAAACGCGTCCTTCTGAACAAATCGACGCGGAAGCCGGAGAACACGCCATCATCCACGCCTGACGCGGCTATCGCCTCCAAGTTCCACGACACCTTCACGGCGCCGCTATCATCCTCCAAAAGGGCGCAATGCGTGAGCTCTTCCCCAGCGTGCTGGCCGTGGCACGCATGCTGCGGCAAGGCTGATCTAATCGCCTCAGTCTAGTCGCCTCAGATCGTTCGGCAATGAGTGCTAACCAACTTGTAGTCAGGAATGCACGCGGCTTAAACAGTCGTGCACGCCATAGTGTCGTTAGGGACATCGTTGTCCGGCAGTGAGCTTCGATCGTCTGCTTGCAGGAGTCCAAGGTCGCGAACTTCTGTGTGACCTTGTGCCATGAAATAGCAGGGATCGACTTTGACTATGTGTACCTCCCGACGACCGGCGTCGCCGGTGGAGCTATCATCTGCTGGCGTCGCGATCTGTGGCGCGCGTCTGCCTCCGTTGTGCGCCGCTTCTTGATTTACATAGAGCTCACTGCACTGAACGGACCCGGCGAGCCATGGTGGCTGACTATTATCACCGGTGCTCCGACAGCCGTTGTACTCTGTGAGTATGTCCGTGTCTAGGACTTGGTCGAGCCGGTCCAACTGTCGCCATAAGTCGCCAATCGCTACATCTGGAAGTGGACGCCGAGCAGGAACTACTCCGCCTCCTCTGCGTATGGAGTGTTCTTCTATGGAATGTCTTTGTTGATTGGAGCCAAGTTCGTCTGGAGGGCCTCCGTGCCGCCAAAGGTGAAGCTCTTCTTCTGGCTTGCTCTCCACGGCCGTCTGTGGACCGTATAACACCGGAAACGCCATGGACTCCAGGCTGATGCTATCTGTGCGCTCTGCGACCAAGACGACGAGACCACCGACCATCTCCTGGCCTCCTGCTCATTCACGCGTGAGGTCTGGGTCCGGCTCCTCGCGTCCGCGGGACTCCAGCAACTTGGGCCACGCAATGACTCCACCATTGCCGATTGATGGTTGCAGACAAGGGCCAACTTCCCAGAGACGTTCCGGCGTGGATTCGACTCCCTCGTACTGCTCGTCTCTTGGATCATATGGAAAGAAGCGCAACAGGCGAACCGTCGACCACCTCGCGAGAACAACCACACAAGTCCTCGCCGTCATCCGTGAAGATGCGGACGTCTGCGTTGCCGCCAGGTTCCGGGCCCTATCGTCGCTGCTCGCCGCGGTCACCTAGGAGTGTGCAGTTAACTTACCTGTCGCGCAATTTGTTCTTCCCTTAGTACACCTTCCTAGCGCCACCGTTCAAGCCGGTGCTCCCTGTCTTTGTCCATCCCGTTCACTTGCTGAGGCATCTCGTCGCCGTAGGCCACGGGACATGTAAATGTTCACACTTCCCTTAATGAAGCACGTGCAAATGCACGCTTTCTGAAAAAAAAAACATATATTGTCGGTGCATAGATTGCAAAAATATTGATGTATTTGACGACATAGACGAGATTATTTCTCATTTGGTTTGCTGAGCTTTTTTTTACTGTTCGGTGCAGGAGAACCAATTGCTAGTTTGTGTTTTACGTTGCGTTCCTTTGTCAAAGCTCAATGGGCAGAGAATCCTCCAATTTTTGCTTGTGCACTCCAGAATCAGCACGTTATGTTTTTTTTA